AACAATAATCAAGATATGATTTTTAATGGAAAAGTCTTTAAATCATTGTAGACGATTTATGTAAAGTGGGACTTCATTTGATGAACAATGGAGCTAAAAACATATTAGCATATATATATATATATATATATATATATATATATATATATATATATATATATATATATATATATATATATACACACACGCACACACACAGGCAGCCCTCACACAGATGCAAACGCACATGTTTATACGCACGCAGAAACACATTTATGTTGGGGGAGGGGCTTGAAGTTGAGGGCTTAATTCCTTCTGTCAGTTATTAAACAGTTATGAAAGGTGATTGAATATTTGCAGTATTTAGTTCGCAACTGCGACACTTAGTTCATATTACATGGCCAAGAAATTCACTAAATTAGGTAAAAATACGCCAAGATGAGTCCTGTATCCAAGTGGCCAAAGCCGCACGCATGAAAACGAACTCGCACACCTTTAAGCCGCGGCAGAAGCGGCGCTGCGGCGAGTCCCTCTCTGCCTTGACCTTGACCCCAGCTGACACCAGTACATGGCTGAGCGGGACCCTGACACCTTGCAGTTGGAAAGCCAGCGATCTTTTTCTGCTAAATTACGTAGGTTATCTTCGTTTTTCCTTTTCGACGAGGACTGCTGTGTTACGATTTCTGTCTCTGAATATAGTTAAAGGAATAGCATTACATAACTTTTGTTTCAGATTCCATGTTTTTTGTAGCATTGTAATGTGCACCTGTGTTCATATGTCATGTTCCTATGACTGCATATATTTTCAGGTTATTTGTTCAGAGTTGGCTCCATATCTGATGATTATAGCTTGTATTGCGTTTGTCTTGTTACTAATAAAACTTTTCCATTCTCTTAATATTTTCACAACTGACCAGTAACATCTTTGATTTATGAATGAATTCTTCTTACGCTGTCTACTATGACTGAGCTGCCAGGGTCACCCTCAGGCAGATTATTGATTTTATGATATGCCTACACAGTTATATATACATATTGTACATATGTCTTTGTTTCATTAATACAATTGATAATAGCAGTGTACACATTGTGTGAATTTTTTAACTTTTCCCTCTTTCATCCAATCCTTAGCCATCCTTTCTTTCTCTCTCCGTCTCTCTGCGTATTTGTTAACATTTCTATATTTTGGCATCAGCGATGTCTCCCTCACTGGGAATCCTATCACTCCTTGGACCAGGAATGCCTCACAAAAGGTCAGTCGTGATAGAAACATGCGCATAAATCGTTTTCTTTTATTCTTATTCGCACATAAATAGGAATAAATACGGACATTCCTCGCCAGAAGCCAAGAGTCCTTCGGCAGAGATTCCTTCCCGCAGAGCGCCCAACTGCGCGCCAAGGGACGCCGCCCCTGGCCTCCGCCCGAGCTCTCAGTCGTCGCGCTCGCAGATGATGGACTTCTCGTGGTGGCAGGCGATGTCGTGCCACCTGACGCCGTCGTCGTAGAAGTCGTTGAGGACGGCCACGCAGTTCTCGCCCCCTTGCTCGCGGTTGTCCGGTTGCGGTTGCTTCTTTTCCTGCCGGCGAGAAGAAGAGGAATTAGAAGAGTTGAGAAAATGGAGTTCTTCCTTGCTGGTAAGGGAAAAGAAAGCTATAAACGATTAAATAGGTATTCACGCAAACGGGGGGGGAGGAGGAGAGAGGATAAGGGGAAGGAGAGGAGGAGGACAAGGGAGGTGGAAGGGAGGAAGGGGAAAGAGGACAGGAGGAAGGGAGGAGGACAGGGGAAAGGGCAGACCGCGCGACAAGCGAAAGGACCCGTGCACATACCCGCCGGTGTGAGACCAGTTCAGACCCACGAAACGGGCTCCTGAAGGCCACACGAAGTCGCGTCCCCTGCGTTGGCCTCCGGTCCAGACCCACGGCAGCTCGTCTGAGAGGGAAGCCAGTCTTGCTAATTATTCATTGGGACTCTTAGAAGTTATACAAAGCCATTATACATAAACAATTGAAGCGTTTGTGAATTCCGTGTGGGTGTGAGCATGTGTTCATACATGTACGTGTATGTGACAAAAACGCATGGAAATTACGGTGTTCGATCACATCGGTGACGAAGTCGTTCTCCTCCCTGGTCTCGATGCTGATGCCCTTCCAGCCGCGGCCGAGGCTCGAGCAGTAGCTGTTGGCGCCCTGCCAGTCGTAGGTCCGGCCGCCGTCGTGGAGCCAGGCGAAGTGGTACTCGCTGTCGCCCCGGTCTCGTCACACCTGCAATGTTCGTGGGCATTTGCAATGATTGTGTCGCAGGTATATTGTACATTAAGATGGCGGTTCTTTGCTTTGAAGAATTCTGGAAAAATGGAATAATTCACGCTAAGGAAATGCCATTCCTGCCATGATTCTTCCTGTGGATCGCAACCACATCACGCTACAAATCATATCTCAATTGGTCTTTCACATGATCTTCCTTATTGAAACTGGCCTCTATTTAAACTGGACCCTAATTAAAACTGGTTTCTGTAATATCCCATTGGTGTTGCGACTCACCAGGTCGTCTCCCAGGGCCACCGCCGCCACAGTTAGAAGCAAAAGGACCTTCATCTGAAACGGAGAAGTGACAGAGATTCACCAGGACGTAATTGGTATTCCTGTTAATTACATTGTACGGTAATCCTAATTGTGCAACTGCTTTGTTTCGGAAGTATGGAATGAAGTGAGCGTATGACTGAAACATAATGTTTATGATACAGCTCCCCTATGTGTCCCACCATGATGCTGTAGGTATTGATAAAAGTATTGCAGACAACTAGTGATATCCTACTCTGTCAGTCAGTATGATTTAAAGTGGTTTGTTGTTGTTTTTTTGCCGAAATAGCGTTAGTGATATTTTTTTTTAAGCTGAGGAAATTCTGATGGAATAAAGAGTTCACAGATATTCCAAAAATTGAAACATTCACTGGAATGCGCCATACCTAGTCCTCAGAACGCTTCACTCCGTTGATGTTCCTCTCTCTCTCTCTCTCTCTCTCTCTCTCTCTCTCTCTCTCTCTCTCTCTCTCTCTCTCTCTCTCTCTCTCTCTCTCTCTCTCTCTCTCTCTCTCTCTCTCTCTCTCTCCCTACTTACCGCGATGAACAGTCAGACGATTGTGCCGTCCGTGCCCACAGCCTCGCCTTTTATACCCACGAGCAGCTAGGCATTTCCATGACTGATGGGCACGGTACTTCCTCTCCCCTCCTCCTGCCCCTCCTCTTTTACTTCTTCTTTTCCTCAATAAGTAGGTCAGCAATAACTCTTCCGAGATCTCTCCAGTGTGAAGGATATTGTGAAGAAACAATGGGATGCAAGTTTGTTTTTCTCCGTCGTCTTCAAAAGGTAAAGGAACAAGTGTAGGAAAGGATAAAAAAAAGATAAAGATTCATTCGATGCTAGCTAATGCAAAATAAAATTAAATGATTTTTTTTTTGTGCATGTTTAGTTGATAAATGTGTACGTACGTGCCAGAAGGAGAGATATATAGATAAAAGGAGGGAGGGAGAGAGACAGAGACAGAGAGGGAGAGAGAAATCTCCTGACATCCCATTATCACTCCACAGTCTGCCTCACACTGGTGAGATCTGGCCAGGGATAGTAATGATAGAGGCAGATAGATAGACAAACTGAGAGAGAGGAAAACATACAGACATAGACTGGCAGACTGAGAGAAAGGGGGAAGGGGGAAAGAAACAATAACAAAGTGTGAAAGAGTAAAGCGAGAGAGAGAGAGAGAGAGAGAGAGAGAGAGAGAGAGAGAGAGAGAGAGAGAGAGAGAGAGAGAGAGAGACATCATTATATTTCCAAACGTGTTATTTACAATTCAAACAAAACTCGAGTAATTTCACCGCATTTCCCCACTCTTCGCTTGCACCACGGCCCTTGCAACACGCCTGCAGTTGCCCATCCGCGCTTCCGATTCGCAAGGAAGAACGAGCCCCCCCCCCCGCAGGTGTAGCAACCCCGCTTACTCATCCCATCCTCTTGGCACCGTGCCAGTGCCTCCTGCAGCGCTGACCTTGGGGTTTGCATAGGGAAGGGAAGGCGCTGTGTAGTATGGGTCTGCGTGTGTGTGCGTGCGTGTGGCTTCTTGAATTGTTTTTTTTGGCGTTGAAGGAGGTCTGCGTGCACACACAACACACACACCACACACACACACACACTATATATTTACAACATATATATTATATATTTACACATATATGTATACTAATATACATTATCATTAGTATTGTCAATAGTAAAGTACTTTGTAATACTTAATATTACTTCATCAGTTCCTAAGGATTTTAGGCAAAGAACACTTGTGGCTTGACTCACCTCCTCCGAGAAGAAGAAGAGAGAGAGAGAGGGGGAGGGAGGGAGAGAGAGAGAGAGAGAGGGAGAGAGAGGGAGAGAGAGGGAGAGAGAGGGAGGAGAGAGAGGAGAGAGAGAGGAGAGAGAGAGAGAGAGAGAGAGAGAGAGAGAGAGAGAGGAGAGAGAGAGAGAGAGAGAGAGAGAGAGAGAGAGAGAGAGAGAGAGAGGAGAGAGAGAGAGAGAGAGAGAGAGAGAGAGAGAGAGAGAGAGAGAGAGAGAGAGAGAGAGAGAGAGAGAGGAGAGAGAGAGAGAGAGAGGAGAGAGAGAGAGAGAGGAGAGAGAGAGAGAGAGGAGAGAGAGAGAGAGAGAGAGAGGAGAGAGAGAGAGAGAGAAGACGAGGAGACAAAGTCAAGTAAATTTTTTTTTTGTTTTAATTATTCTACCTAATCATTCTCCATATACTTAAAAGGAATACATTTTATATGTAAGAAATTAATTTACTCAAGAAATAAAGAATTTAGACAAATATTATGTAATCAAATTGCCTACCAATGGAAAAGGAATGGCATATTGTTTGTCCTTTATAAGAATATCAACACGAGGGTCTGTATCTCAGCAGACTTCTGGCTTTGGCTTCAGCACAATCTAAAAAGCCGATAAAACTGTCTTTTAGAGGTAAGTTGTGGTAAGAGGGATGAGCTAAGAAATCCCTGTGAAAAAGTGGGATTACCTTGGATTTAAATGGTTATCTCATCTATGAGATGATAAGCCAGATTTTTTTTTCTTTTTTTTTCTATCCTATCGCCAGGAATCCTCTCTATCCTGTGTCACTGTTGTCTTGTCATTGCTCCATCTTTCTTCATTATTACTGTCTTGTTGTTATCATTATTATGTGTGTTTATATATTAATTCCCTTATTTATCACTTGTCTATCAATAACATTCATTAATTTACTAAATGAATATACTAGAAATTGAGGCAAAAACGAAGAAAATGAGTAATAGAAAAAAAACATATGGACTAAGAAAAAGAGAAACAAAAAAGAAATTGAAAAAAAATGTATGCAAACGATTCTGGTGTGATTACCTGCCATTTGTTTTGAAATCACTAAGTAACAAATAAACGTTTTTATTTGGCTTTAGTATTTAACGTCAGCAACGGTCAAATGCAACGCACAAAGGATAACTTATATACTGACATTATTTAACCCATTTAGAATTGACCGTTAACGAAATATTTTTAAACTCTCTCAGAACGAGAAGTAGAACATAATACAGTGTTTTTCAAATATTTCTAACTCTTATTTTTGTTCAGGAAACTAATCGTATTTATCATTTTCCTTTTCAGTTAGCAATAAATCTGTAGTACATTATATCAACAACCAATGAAAAGAGCCAATTTTAAAGTTTGAAGATTGATTCGTAAAACTTTTTTTTTTTTTAATATCGCAAAAATTAATCCCTTCCAAATCCTAATATTGTTCAATATTTTCTTTTCCCTATTTGTGGCCTTCGTTTTCTTTTCTTTTCTCTCTCTCTTTTTTTAAATATATTATGCATTATGCATTATAATCTGATATTCACAGATGTTAAATGATTAGTAAAATTTATATACTTTATTCATGTAACATTAAACCGAAAACGTATCGGAACGGGTTTCATAGAAAATGAAGATAAAGAAAACGGAAATTGTACTAGAGAAAACAAAGTACTAAATCATGAAAAAAAAGACAAAAACACTAATATCACAAAACTACAGATCTTAAAACAAAAGTATTAATACACAGACGGTGGGAAAAATACTCAATTATGTAAGCATGAGAAATGAAGAATAAAAGTCTCCCTCCAATGCATTTTTTTTTTCTAGATGACTGGCGTTTCTCAATTCCGGCCGAACCGCCAGCAAAGTAGAAGTAGTAGTGAAAGCAAGAAGACAGACGCAAATTCTATCCTCTTTTTAAGATCAATCAGGTGTTGACAAAATAATGAAAATGATAAATAAAGAAGTAAATACATAGATAAATGAAATGCGGTGAGCCATTTGTCCACCCGGCACACTGAGGATATTTTGTTTATCTTTTTTACTACTTTTTTATCTAATCTTGCGATGGGAGTCTTCCAATTGTTTTGATTAATATATATATATATATTGTTGTTTTGTTTTTATTTCCTCTATTCTTAATGTGGAGTAAATGTGTTCATCCGAACATTACTGTATTTTTTTTTTTTTTTAATATTTAAGATCGCAATTTAAGATACTTTATTGGCGGGAAAATGCCTCCCCCCTCCACCCTGCCTATATCCAAATATCCACAAAAATAATTTACAAATTAACCTTCACTTATTCCCAACGACAGAGACGTTTATACTGGTCATTAAGTGGTTTTAAAACTTCCTTCCATCGTAAAAGTAAGAGCGATAGTAAAATGATTGAGAAAAGTAAAGTAAGGGGAAAAAATTATGTTCATTTCCCGCCATTTGTTTTGAAATCTTTTGGAAATAAATGTCTCGATATTTTACTTGAATTTAGTACTTTAACAAGATCAAAAGTCAAGGAAATGGGTGGAAAAATAAGAATTATTTACGCAGTTTCTCGCAAAATATTTACAAACGTCTTGTTGCCTATTATATATTACGTGTTGTTTATTTTAAAAAATGCTCCGTTGATAATACAAGCAGGGGTCACGGTCCTACATCCCATCCCTACTCGTTAATCATTAAATGATGATATAATAATAATAATAATAACAATACTACTACTACTAATAATAGCAATGAAAATATAATAAATAATAAAGGACATGCTGGTAACTTTTCTGGTTTTATTAAGCTATGGTATCAAAATTATTCTTAGGTCGATTTTACATGGTCAAATCTTGCAAATAGAAATTTACAAAAAAAAAAAAAAAAAAAAATCTTTACTTTTCAGAATTACCTTGCTATGTCATATTTAGTGCACCATTTCCTGGGATTGTGAAATAAGCATTATCTAAATACGTAACACTAGTGGCCAGTACTTATTGTACATATATTGGAAAGGACTTATTGAACATGTTCTTTTTGTTTGTTATTTTTGCCAAGATATGTCGGTTCTTCCTTAATACCAGCATAATAAGTCGTTGTTGTTATTTGTAGATTAAAAATATCGTGATTTTTAGTTTCTCTCTCTCTCTCTCTCTCTCTCTCTCTCTCTCTCTCTCTTTCATGATAACATCGTTTGAATGTAATTATTTTCACAAGGTTGTCACTATGATGAAGCCAAGACGAGGAGGTTCAAGACAAGCAGATTAAAGCAAATTTGAATTTATTTCCAGATTTTCACATAAATAAGAAATAAATACAGTCGGATTTCGATCGTTCGATTCTGCACCAAAGTCACAGTGACGATCCAAAATCCAGTGACAGTGATACATGCGCCTCATAGTTTTCTCCAGGAGGAACAGTGTTCACTCGTCCACTTCGGGTGTTCCCTTAAGACTTCTCGCAGATAATGGACTTCTGGTGACTGCAGCCAACGTCGTGCCACTTGACGCCGTCCTTGTAGAAGTTGTTGAGGATGGCCAGGCAGTTCTCGCCACCTGGTTCACGGTTGTCAGGTTGCCTCTTGCCAGTACTGGGGAGGGAGGGGGGGGGGAGAGAAGGGGTTAGTTCCAGGAGGACTTCAGGTTTTGTTCCTATAAGTGGATGAATGCTTGGTCCTGTGTGTGTGGGACTACGGGGGGGGGGGGGGTCCTCGTGGGTAAGAGCATGTGGTTGTTACTATGGATAGGCCTACGTGATTTTGCTTTGGTGTTGATTTTGTTGTCTTGCTTTTTTTTTTTTTTTTTTTTTTTTAAGGGGGTTTAAAATGTGTACTGGCTTAGAAGAAAGATTATGGCCATTAACTACATTTGTGTGTGTGTGTTATCACGATCACTGATATAGTAATATTTCATACAATCAGTTATTTATATTTTGCACTTTTCTTTGTTTTAGTTTTGTTTTAGACGGACTGAGAAGACATCTGTTCAGACCAGAATACCAAAAATCCAAGCGTCAAACTTACAGTCCAGTGTGAGACCAGTTCAGACCCTTGAAAGGCTTTCCTGAAGGCCAAGAGAAGTCCCTTCCCTTGCGCTGCCCTCCAGTCCATACCCAGGGAAGTCCGGCTGAAAAAAAGGGACAATTTTCTTCATCGACGAGGAAACGGAAAATGAAAGATATGTAGGCCTAGCGCGATACAGAATCGAGCGTAAAAAAAAAAAAAAAAAAAAAAAAAAAAAAAAAAAAAAAAAAAATGAAAAGTCTATTAATAGCTACATAATCTGTAGACATATTCCACAAAAGCTGAAAGAAAAAAAATCGGGTTTCTGTAGCATTACGTACCATAAACCCCAGCACCGACAATTAGACCAAGGGATAGCACTTACCATCGCCAACAATCTCATTGATGAAACCACTTTCCCCGCTGGTCTCGATGCTCACGCCCTTCCAGCCGCTTCCGAGGCCCGAGCAGTACCCGTTGGCGCCGTTCCAAGTGTACTCTCGGTTGCCGTCGTGTTTCCAGGCGAAGTGGTACTGACTCCCTTCTCTTTGGGCGTCCACCTGGAGAACACGCGTTATTAGGTGTGTTTTTTTTTACCTGGGACGTGTTGTAGTTAGCAAGAGGGGGGTAGTTTTAAATGGAATGTGCGGGTTGGCTTGTTGTTAGCGAGAGGAAGGTCGTTTTAACTCTAAAGTGCTGTTAGAGTTAGAGGGAATGAGTTTTACCTATGAATGTGCGTGTTAATAGAACTTTTTACTTGGGATGTGTGTTATTAGTAAGGGGCGGGGGGTAGTTTTAACTGGAATATGCGGGTTGTTAGCGAGAAGAAAGTCGTGTTGGGGAAGGTTGTTTTATCTCGTGTTGTGTTAGAGTTAGCGGGAATAAGGTTTACTTAAGAAAGTGTGTGTAATTGATAGAACTTTTTTACATGTGGCGTGTGTTATTAACAAGAGGGGAGTAGTTTTAACTGAAATATGCGTGTTGGCTTGTTGTTAGCGAGAGGAAGGTCGTTTTAACTCGTGTTGTGTTAGAGGGAATACGTTTTCCCTAAGAACTTGCGTGTTATTAATAGAACATTTTTACCTGGGACGTGTGTTAAGAGGGAGAAACTTTTACCTGGAACTTCCGTGTTCTTAGCGAGAGGAAGTACAAGAACAAGGGCCCTGTGGATGAGTGTCTTTCTTCTTTGGCATTTTTGTATTTTCTAGGAATTTTAAGAAATGGAAGAGGGAGATCTTTTAACCTGAAATATGTGTCCTTAACGAAAAGGAGAACAAGAAGAAGCACACTGTGGATGTGTGTATTTCTTTGTCACTTGTATTTTCTAGGAATTTTGGGAGATGGAATGACAAAGTAAGAGCAGAGAATGTGAATACATACATAGTAGGGTCATATTACTAGCTAAATGATGATGTTCGTGAATATAAAAATTGATAAACTAGGCAAATTATCATTATTATCATTATCATTTATCTTTATCATTATCGATTTTATGGATTACATGCCGTAAATAAGAGAACTATGTAAGGAAAGAGAACAGATTTCACAAATGAAAATATTTTATGCTCGTCCAACACGTTAGTTTAAAGAACACGTATTTGACAGACAAATTAGTGAGTTATCGACACGTTTTACCAAGTCGATTCGTTATCAAAATTGGTCTCATTTTCAAATTGATTATTGATGCAAACTTTTTTGCCTTCCATGGTGTAGTACTTGATTGATAATAATAATACGAATAATAGTGATAATGATAATAACAATAATGATGATAGGAATAATGATAATGATAGGAATAATGATAATAGTAATAACAATAATGATGGTACGAATAATAATGACAATGATAATGATGATAATGAAATAATGATAGGAATAATGATAATAGTAATAACAATGATGATGGTACGAATATTATCAATGATAATGAAAAAAAAAATGATAGGAATAATGATAATAGTAATAACAATAATGATGGTACGAATAATAATGATAATAATAATGATGATAATGACAAAAATAATGATAATAATGATGATATACAAACTTACCGGAACACTCCTCTGGCCATAGGCAACGGCCACCAGTGCGAAGAGTAAAAGGACCTTCATCTGAAACGGAATAAAGACGATAATTCAGTAAAAGCGATGGAACTCCCTCGTTGAAATCATAGCACTGTATTCCCCATACCAGTGGGAATAATGCAGTGGCTTTTAACTTGGATATTATAATAATGAAAAGGGTCGGATTAATTATCCCTTTATGTTAGAAAGGGTGATGAAGATGAGGATAATGAGGATAATGATGAATAAATATGAATGGAGGACAAAATCATCGAAGTCTTATTAGAGATATATATTCTATCAACACTTAACGCATAATTGGTATCGATATATTGGTCAGATAAAATAATCTTTATCATTAAAGGAAAATATAAATAGGTCTATTCAAATTCCTATACTATTTTTTTTCCGTAAATAGTCAGGGATTTTGTATTACAACTGTTATACTTTAACGTTATTGATAGTATGCAATATGTTATTAATTAATGATTTACAAAGTGGCAACGAAGAATAAACAAGTAAAAGATATATTGTATCGTTATTCGTAAATTGGAAATCGCATATGATGTTTAAATTTAATTAAAATTGTATTATCTATGTAGAGATTGAGACAAGACTACACTAACTGCTTTCTCTTGTATAATGATATGTTGAACAAGGCAAGACTGAAACTGAATATTTCCACTTCTGCCTCTCTCTCTCTCTCTCTCTCTCTCTCTCTCTCTCTCTCTCTCTCTCTCTCTCTCTCTCTCTCTCTCTCTCTCTCTCTCTTCTCTCTCTTCTCTCTCTCTCTCTCTCTCTCTCTCACTCTCTCTCTCATTCTAACTCTCTCCTTGACTCTCCGTCTCTATCTGACTCTCATTCTCACTCTCTCTCTTATCTCACTCTCTCATTTTCTCTCTCACTCTCACTCTTACTTTCCCTCTCTTCCTTCTCTCCCTCTCTCTGTGTGCTTACCATGATCAACACTCGGATGAATGTGCTGGTGATGCCGACCGACCGCCTTATATATGCACCAACGACTGAGTTTGTCATGGTTGTCAGGTATTTTTTTTCCTTGCACGATTTTACAAGTAGGTCAATAATCTTCCTGTCCAGCAGAAGGTGGGGAAACAAAGGATGGTCAGGATATGTTTTTTTTTTTTTGTGTGTTTTTCTTTTTTTTTTTTCTATGTCTCGGGTGGAAAGTGATGTAGCAGGAAGTTTTTTAAAAAGGGTTTAAAAAAAAATGTGGTAGAGAGGTGAAAATAATACACAAATATTACACGATATATCAGGGGTTGGACACATGTTACCGAAAGCACACACACACGCGTACACTAAGCGAAAAAGCACAACATACACAAACACACCTGTATACAAAACCCACACACCCATTATTACAACCACCACACACCACACACCTGTATAACAAACCACACCACACAACTACACACCTGTATAACAAACCAACTCCACACCATCACACCTGTTATACAAACCTATACGCACATCAACACACACACACCACATGATTATATAATACAAACCTAACCCACATACACTTAACCTGGTATCCAATACCATCACTACACATACCCTCGTTCCAATACTCACACACACACACTGAATACATACTGCAAAATATATACTCCACAACACACACTGTATTAAGCAAAACCATAACAACGTATTATATAATCATACACATTAGATGTATACACACTCATGTATATTAAGCAACCAATAACCGCATACACACACATCTGTATTACAAATTCCAACTCCCTAACACACTAACACTTCTGTTATATCAACCAACCTCACGACACCACCCTTGTATATCAACCAACCTCACATCACAGCACGCCTGCTCTACCAAGCGCAACCCACACCACCATGTACACACACCGAACAGACACAGAAAAAAAAAATACCACATGATATCCAGAACAAACCAAATACTTAAAAAAAGTTGACGAACAACCTGATCACAGTCTCTGCCGAAGTAATCTTTGAAAAAAAAATAAAAACATTTTTACATAAACGTTTCAACATCAGCAACAAAATCTTTGCAAAAATAATTCTATTATTTTTAATAATTAAAAAACGTTTTACATAAACGTTTCAAC